CCTCGCGGTTGGCGCGGGTTCCGGCGCGCCCCTCTTCATTGGGCTCGGCCGCGGTGCGGGGGGGGCCGGCGGCGCGCGGGGGCTTGCGGCGGTTTACGCGGCCGCGCGGGAAAGGCGGGGGAGCGCGCGGGGGCGGTCGGAGATGTGGCGAAATTGGGGCGCGCGCGCTGCGGGGTTGGGGAGCAAGCGGTGGCGTGCGTGGCGACGTGGACAGGTGGGCGGGCAGGGCGAAACCGAAAGTGGCGGGCGCGCGCGGCTGCGAAGGGCGGCGGGAGGGCGAGGCGCAAGGATGCGGGGCGCGGGATTCGGTCGGCGTCACTGGCCGCGGGTTAAGGGAAGGGGAGACGGCGGCGCGGGCGGCGGCGGCCGGACGGGACGGACGGGGCGCGGGGACGGTGGCTGCGGCGGCGAGAGGGAAGGAACGGATTGGGTGTCGGGTTTCTCCCGGCTTTTTACAGGAGCGCTGAGACGCAGGGAGCATCGGCGATGCGCGTGGTTTTTACGACAGCGGTGATACGCGTTGAGCATGCGGGGTGAGTTTTTACTTTGCTTAACAGTACATTGCAGCAGTTTGCAGAGGTTTCAAAGAGAGAGTCAAGGCCAGAGAGAGTCAAGGCCAGAAAAAGTGAAGCGCAGAGAACGTGAAGCCTCTCTCTAGAGAAAGGTTGGCAAGGCACTGTCCACTGTCGTCGCATTTACGGTACATGGTGCGCCAGGTACAGTACCGAGGGTATGGTATGGTACGGTACCCTTCCGTACATAGGGTAGAAAGGTGGAACGCAGGCTGGTCTCAAAATTAGGGGTGTTTCAAAATTCCCCATGTTCCAAAATGCGGCAGTGAGAAGGGTAATGTACCCTTGTTATGGTAATGTACCGTACGACACGGTTACAAGTACTGTAGGTGATGCATGCGAGAACCTGAGAGTGGCAGGGGTGAGAGTGAGACATGTCCAGTGCAGTGAAGGGAGCGTGCTGTCCGGTACTTGTAACCAAGTGTGCCTGGAAGGGCCTTGTGCGGCATGGCGCGGGGCGGTGCCGGACTTGGGGTTGATGGCAAAAATCCGGGCCGGATTCCGCCGGGCCGTACGCGTGCGCTTCTCTAAAATTCAAATAAAATCTCGGACTACAGTATAAAATCTCCCTCTACAGTAAAAATGCAATTTTCCCTAAAAATATCCCACAGCGTCGGACTAGATAGGGGTTGATGGCAATACGAGTCGGGTTGAAAACTAGCGCAGGGCGGGGCCAATCGATCGAGGACGTCCTGCTTCGCGCTTCAAACACAAAGTTTTTGCGTGGAGCGCACGTCGTGGGCGGGCCTGCAGCCGTCCGTCCACGCCCGCAATTGTGACACGTGTGCCGCCGTGTGCACACTACACTGATCACAGTATTTAACCTGGGCCAGGTTAATTTTGAAGCTCATATTGTGCCCGAAAATACTGACACACGCCCGGCATGCCGGCGCGCAGGCGCGCAGGGCAACCCGGCGTCCGTCCCGGGGCGTAAAGAATCGTGCTAATTTGAACACGAGTAGAGGTGGGGCAACGTCCAGTACGACTGGATAGGAAATCAGAGACGAGTTGGAGCCCTCTGACCGTCCCGGGGCGTGTCTCCTAGATATCGCTTGCGCAAGAATCTCCAAATATCTCTTTGCCGCCACCCCAGTGGCCGCGCAGCCCGGGGGGAGGCGCGCGGAAGCACGGAAAAAGACAGAGAGAAAGAGAAAAAATGTCAAAATCTCCTTCCACTAAATTACCACACCTTTCGCTTCAGCCCGTGCCGCCGCCATGCCGCGCCGCCTCGCCCGCCGCCCCCGCCGCTTACCGTTCCGCCCACGGTCGCGACGAATATTTTTGACATGTCCTGCTGGGTCATATTCGCAGGTGTAGTACAGTAGCCAAGCACCGGTGCCCTTGTGCGCTACGCCCGATTTCAAAGGCTTTCCGGAGTGACTTGTCGTGACTCAGCGTGACTCATATTTCCGACTCGCTGGGGTAGATTTTGAAGGCCATCCTA